GGCGGTGGGGTGTACGAAAAAACACAGAAGTTTACACACAAAACCAACAAGAGAGCTAATAATTAACAAAGCGAGGAAAACTTGGAGGAATGAGCTTGCCTGTTGTTGCAGCAGCTGGACATGCTTCTCCAGCGCACTTTTGCCCTGTTCCTCTTCTTCCAGGGAGTCCTTGAGACCCTCACGTTCCGACTCCGCCTGACGTAGCCTGGTCTGTATAGCCAACTTTGCACGAGTCTCATCCTCCAGGGCCTGGCGTAACTCCTGCAGGGTGGTCACGTTGGTCGCCTCGGAGCGAGCAAACTTGCCGACTTTGGTCTCGGACTCCTCGAGAGCGGCGGTTAGGGCCTCTGTCTCTGCCAATGCCTTGGCCAAACGCTCTTCCAGATCCGCCTTCTGCTGCTCCACCTCCTCCAGATGCATCACCTTGGCGTTCAACTTCTGCTCCAGGGCTCGGCGGCGCTTCTCGGTATCGGCCCTAAACAAATACGCAGATTGGTTGCAAAAAGCGTCGGCGCGAATAAATTAGAGGGACAGAAGCGAGCGAAGTGCGGCCTGAGAAGATAGTCTGCAGTTTAAAACCAGTCAGGCCTGGCGACCTGACACTCCTGCCTACCTACCGCATGCAGTCAGATGTGTCAGTGTGAGCCAACACTAGTCGACAGACTGTTCAAGGAAGCCAAAATGTTGGCCTAATTACTCATGGACTGATTGTGACGAAGGCATTATGACTCCTGGTTTTGAATTGGTCAGGCCGGTGGGGCATTAAAGGCTTAAAACTCAAAGAAATGAAGCACAGTGAGGCAGATTTCAACGTATATCCTAAAGCTGTCAAAATCTATTGGGGCTTGAAGGAACTGATCTTAACTTTATGCGGGTGTCCGACCTACAGGCAATCAGGGAAGTTTTGAAACTTCAACATATTCATCAGAAGCTACTAGTTAAAGGTCAACAGATTAGTGACTAGAAGTCATTAAAAGTCTGATGATGGGTTTGCAGCACTGAAGCTTGAGAGAAGTGGCTGTCGAGTTTAAAAAGAATTATGATAGCGACTCCTACCACAGATGTTTAGAAGACGGTGGCGATAAATGAAAGCCAAGTAGATGTTTTCAGCGTTCATGTATTCATTAGTGTTGCTTAAAAAAGGATTCGCAAACATGTGTTTCTACTGCCCAATTGTCTGAAAACACAAAGGACTTGATCGGAACATTAGAATTCGAAAAGCGTCCGTGAATTTACACAGGATAATGTGCCATCTCACTTGGAAAAATTGTGGTTTCACGATTATTTTAGAAATAATGGTTGAACAACATTAAATACCCAACTTACTGCCTATTTAAGCGAACACTCACAATTACCATGGAAGCAGATTGGGCTACATAACACTGTTCTAAGATAAGCACATCCATTGCAAATTAATACTGATAATACAGCTAAATTTACCAATTTTATCAGAAAATATGCCTTCCGAGGTTAGCCAACGCTTTTTCACCTTCCGCATTAGTTGAGTGGATAGATGCGACAACTGCGACAATAACGCATCTGCTGAAGATGTTATGCAGTAGAAAAAATAGATCATAAACAAGAGGCGCAATGTGGGAAAAATTACTTGGCTGCGACAGCTGCGTTCAGCTGGTTGGTCAGATCAGCATTCGAGGATTCCATCTGGGTCTTGGAATTCTCCACTGCCACCTTTACGCGTTTCATCGCCTCCAGCTGCTCTGTTAGGGCGTCCACGGCAGCTGTGTGCTTCTTTCTCAGATCCGAAACTGCTGCTTCGTGTGCACTGAAACGAAGACAAACGCAGTATAAGTACTTGAAGAGCAAAAAGGACCACGAAAGATCTAGCTGGCAGTCGTACTTTTTATGTACGCTTTACTGATAATTGACCCGGTAGCTGACCACCATAGGGCACCATGTCAATGAAGAATATTAAGGACGCGCAAACGAACGAAATTGTGCTCCCGTTCCCTACCTTCGGGGAGTGTGATATCGCCACGAGAGCAAACGCGCACTTGGCGAGTGTTTTTCCACCAACCTTACAAAAAACTCTAGAGAACTATCAAAATAAACTAGCAAACACAAAAGACGGAAGGGTGAACTTTTAAAGATCTGAGAGTCAGGCTCGATTAACTTTTCTGGTCCTTAATACAACACAAGGAAAGACTACAAATCAAAGAGGGACAACGACGCGACATATGCAGTTGCACCACAGATTTGGACATCTACCATGCCTGGCAATCCAGCAGTACGAACCCATGCCCATTGTCAAGGCTTAGCTGGTCGGTATGACATCGCATTAACTGTAAGCAAGTAGGGAAAACTTACGCTGCGTCAACTTCGAGCTGTCTTCTCGCATTAGACAACTCTGCCTCGTGCTTTCGCAAGGCTTCCGCCTGTGCTTCGGAGTTTGTGCCAGTGTCAATAAGTTCCAGCCGAAGAGCCTCCAGTTCCTCCTTCAGATCACGCTTCTGATTCTCGGCGCGATCGCGTGCTGCCTTCTCGGACTCCAGATCATCCTTCAGCTCCTGGACCGTTGACTCCGTCTCACGAACCTAAAGAAGAAATAAAAGATATGATTATATTTAATGGTATTTACCGACAAACGAAGAGCA